TTGTACTAGTCCACTAACCTGGCATTCCCTGGGCCTGGCGGGGACAGGTCAGCATAGACCCTCCACACTCTGTGCAAACAATGAAACAAAGCCAAGGACCAAATGGATGCCCAGGGTGAGGTGCTCTGTCATCCAGGTGTGGGATCAGGCTGAAAAAAGGAAGAGGAAGGAGAAGGAACCCTGTCTACACTGTCCCCTTAAAACTGGAATGAATCCAACTTTTATGTCCCCCCCCCCAAAAAAAAAAAATCCCACAAAGGAAGGAAGGAGGAAGGAAAGAAGGAAGGAAGGAAGGAGAATCAGAGTTTGAACTGATTTAGAGCTCAGGACTGAATGTCCCACTAAAAGCTGGACAAATAACAAGCATATGCCTCAACATAATGAGAAAATCAAAGCAAAAGACATACAGTTTTGTGCACGCTCTCCCGCAACCCGTCAGAAAAAATTTCCCACAAGCTGGGAGTCTTTACTCTCCTGGGGATGAGCTGCAGAGACAGGAAGTCTTCTGGGTGTGTGCACACACACACACACCCTCGGGGGCAGCCTAGGTGCACAGCTCACAGACACCAAGTCTAACTGTCCCTGAGTGAGCAGGAAGAAGATGCCAAATTAACCCACATTAGAAATCCTTTGGAAACAAACTGAGGGTTCTCGAGGGGAGGGGAGTAGGGGGATGGGTTAGCCCAGTGATGGGTATTAAAGAGGGCACGTATTGCATGGAGCACTGGATGTTATATGCAAACAATGAATCATGGAACACTACATCAAAAGCTAATAATGTAATGTATGGTGACTAACATAATAAAATAAAAAATAAAATAAAATAAACCCTTCGCTGGGGCACCTGGGCGGCTCAGTTGGTTAAGCGTCTGCCTTCAGGTCAGGTCATGATCCCAGGGTCCTGGAACTGTGCCCCATGTCTGGCTCCCTGCTCAGCGGGGAGTCTGCTTCTCCCTCTCCCTCTGCCTGCTGCTCCCCCTGCTTGTGCTCTCTCTCTGTCAAATAAATAAATAAATAATCTTTTAAAAAAAAGAAGTCCTTTGGGGGCGCCTGGGTGGCTCAGTTGGTTAAACGACTGCCTTCGGCTCAGGTCATGATCCTGGAGTCCCGGGATCGAGTCCCGCATCGGGCTCCCTGCTCGGCGGGGAGTCTGCTTCTCCCTCTGACCCTTCCCCCTCTCATGCTCTCTCTCATTCTCTCTCTCAAATAAATAAATAAAATCTTTAAAAAAAATAAAATAAAATAAGTCCTTTGTTAGCTAATAAAGTCATCAGCAATTTCAATTTTATTTTTCATTTCTTAGTTTAAAAAAAAAAACCCTCAGCAGGTATCTGTCCCCCAGACCTCCGTGCATGCTTCTTCAGCTTTATCCTTGTAAGCAAATGTGATTGGAAACCAAACCGCTCCAAATATTTACTCTCCAGATTTCTTTTCCCTCTTAAGTTTAAAAAGTAAAGTTGCTTTCTTCTTTTCCTGAGGTTTGAACCTGAGAAGTGCTGCCTACACAGCGGGACCCTGTCAAGGAGAGAAAGCCTCATAACACAAGTGCTTTAGCCCCTCATTTGGTTGCTTGAACCATTTCAGTTTTGAAGGGGTTTTACATAACCCTGCAAGCAGCGCTGACTCAAACCACCTGCCTAGGTGTTTGCTAATGGCCAGTCTCAGCATCCTAGAACGAGAGGGTAGGACTGGATCCCCAGTGTCTGAGACATCCTCTTCCAGATCCTTCAGTGCATAGATGAAGAACCAGATCTTCCAGGAGATTGAGGGATTCCGTTAAGGCTACCCAGCTATTTGGAAGCAGAAGTGAGTTAAAATCGTCCTTACGCAGGTCTGACAACCAGCTAATGTTCGTAACTTAATTGTACAGAAGCATGTTCTCCAATTAAGTGGAAACCATGCTCTAGACCCAAAGCAGACCTGCTGCTGTCAGGTCAGTGAGGACTTCTAATACTGACAGGATGGAACTGAAGAGGAACACCGAACGTCAGGATTCTATTTGAAATCTTGAAGCTCCCTCGTCTATAGGCAGCACACTGTATTATTTCTTACGTGATTTGTATGCATGTCCATGTCTCCGAAGGCTGCACTCTCCACCAGGGAGGTACTGTCCTGTTCATCTTGGTGCCCTCGCCCCCAACCAGCTGCTTAGCACAGACTTCAAACATCATGAACACTTAGTACACCTTTCTTTAAATAAATGAGTGCCCAAAACAGCCAGGCAGAGCAGGGAGGGTAAAGATGCTCTATAAATTGAGAATGGGAACAAAAATAATTATCTGAATTATCCGAAATAGAAAACTCAGGGAGGACAGTTTCCTAGGTATAGAGGATTTCCAGGGAGGTGGTTTCTAGACTAATGCACATTTTTTTCCGGAAGCTCATTCAGTGATTCTCCTTTCTTTACTTTTTAGGACATTTTGCTATCTTAATTGAAAGCCCTGCACACCTCTGATCAACTGCTGTCCCTCCTAAGGGACCAGCACACATGCAATCCCTTTGGAAAAGATTAATCAGCCCTAATTGAGCCACAATATTAGCCCAAATTAATTAGACTTTAAGAAAGTTGTCAACACCCTTCAAGGTAACCTGGCTCTGTCGCCTCCCAGGGAGGAGTCGGTCAAGCTCTAAAACCTTCCAATTCTGCCAGTGACCCATGAATACAGGCCTCTTTCTTCTCAAAGACATTTACTCCATTGGCTTTTTATTTCTGTACTAAACAGAAATCAAAACAGAACATCAGACTCCAAGAAGGATCACAGAACTTTACAGTTCATTCTGCAGTGGTCTGACAAGGAAGCAATCTGGTGTCAGCTTGTAACCCCTTAGTGGAATCCCCATCTCAGAAAAGTGTTACTGCATTCCTGGAAACTGAAGCCATCCCCCATAGAAGCAGAAGCAAGCATCTTCAGGTCTAAAAGTCATTGAATCAAATAACATGGAAGCTCTTAAATCTCCAGGTCTTGCCACTGCAGCAATCCAAATATACCCTGAGATTGCATCCGTTAATTGAACCACCATAAACTCTGTCTGTATTGGCTCAGCATTAATAATTGGCGGTGAAATTTACAAACCTATTCTTAAGGCACGTTTATTTTGCATTCAATAAATAAAAGCATCATTTAAAAAAAAATACCACCATATTCTTTCAAAATACCTTTAAGTAGAGAACGCCAAATCATCTAAAGGTGTCCTCTTATGAAGATTCCCTGACCCAGGTGAAAGGTAGCACACAGGTATTTCTATCACCATTTCGGAATGAGGAAACAGCCTCAGGGACTTGAACTAAGTGAGTCAGTCATGAGGCTGAAATAGAAACCAAACTCCAAGATGACCTTGAAGCAAATGCAGCCAGAAAAGAAGGTGTAAGTTAATAGTGACGTTTGTTTAGCCTATTGTGACTCCAGAAAACAAGTCAAAATGGCCTCATAAAGAACAAGCCTGGGGCACCTGGGTGGCTCAGATGGTTAAGCGTCTGCCTTCAGCTCAGGTCACGATCCCAGGACCCTGGGATCGAGCCCCACATCGGGCTCCTGGCTCAGCCGGGAGTCTGCTTCTCCCTCTCCCTCTGCCTCTCCCCCTGCTCATGCTCTCTCTCTCTATCTCTGTGTCTCAAATGAATAAATAAAATCTTTAAAAAAAAAAAAAAAGAAGAAGAACAAGCCTTACTGTCGAATCCTATCACTGTACATATGTCATTACCTTGGCAAATTCACCACATAAGCTTGCTGTTTGTGACATAAGCCATATGTCATACACACTGTATCTTTGCTGCCTTGTTTTCCTTCCTAAGTGTAATCCATAGAACGCTAAAATGACTGTCTCACAAAACTACATGCTACAAATATATGCTTATTCTTAGATTTTGCATTTCATTTTAAAATCTATTCAAGAGCATTTAGTAACCAGTTTATTAGGATCAGGGGCCTAGTCAGAGGGAAGTGCTCATCCAGCTGAAAGAAAAATCACCTCTAAAGACATCTGAAGATTGGGGGAGTCCATCAAGGCCACTCAATTGTCTAGTAGCTGAGCTGGGTCAAAATCAAGAATACAGGTCTGACTACCAGCCAATGCCCTTAACCTCATTGTACAGAATCATGTTCCCCAATTAAGTGGAAACAAGACTCCAAGCTGAAAACAATCCTTCTGCTCCCAGATCAATCAGGATTTCTAATATTGACAGGAGGAATTTAAAAGGAGCACTGAAAGTCTACGTGAAACCTTCTTTTCTCTGCAAAAGACCCTTCTCTCTTCCTCACCCCTGCTCTCCCACTCCCATGTATTTCAATGGCACTAGGATTTCAAAGCCCGATGAATTTGGACTTGCTTGTGATGGGAAAAAAGCAAGAGCTAAACAGTTTGGCCGGCGTCAAGGTGTCCTTCCCACAGGGAAATATGCATGATTATTTCTGCAATTTTTGGGGGGGTGGTGGGTATGGGAAAACAGAAGAGGAGAGACAGCAGAAATGCATTCTAGTAAAACCCACACCCAGCCAGAAACTGAGGAGTGTGATACAGCCGGGGTAGTAAACCCCCAAAATAAAAAACAAGAAAACACAAAACTGCCAACTCAAGTGACTAACAAAATGCACACAATATTCATTTGATGGATAAGTAAACCAAGACTCTCCAGCGACTTGGCGGAGAAGGTCATTTAATTTTATAAACAAGATCTAAGATGGACACTAGACTGTCATTCCCACTGAGCCCATCACTCCAACTCCCTAAACTAAATTCTTTCTTGCTAAAACTGCTGAAAACATGAAGGCCTCTTGGGACCATCCTTTCAACCCAGAACACAGAAAAGAAGGCCCTCTTCCCACTACATTTAAATTACGTCTTGTTATCTATATACTCCCCTAAGCAGGAGGCTCTGTGAGCGTAGGGACTAGAGCTGTCTGGGGCACCCGGCATAGTACCTGGATCATGGTGGGCATTTGGTGCCTCTTTTGCTAAATGGATGATTTGCCGCAACATGATGAAACCTGGATTCTACTTACACTTATGGGACAGAAGCACGTCAAAGGAATCTGCCCACCTCGTGGCTTCTTCTGTGGATAGTCTCCTAGGAAAGAAGAAACATCTCTCTTGAATATTTCTGAAATGACCCTCCTTCTCCATCAGCAACCACTGAGATTTCCTCGGGGAAACAAATCAGAACAATGGCGGGCAGGGGGTGGGATGCAAATGAAAACCACCTGGATTCCTGCAAGTCTGTTGCTGTAAATGTGTACATTCTTAACTAACTGATGGCAAACCTCAGTACTGGAATTCAGTGTATTTGTATATTGGCTTTCAGTCTAAAAAACCAAGCTAAATAAGCGCAGGATATAAAGTTGTCAAGATAACAATGGAAAGAAACTGGCCTTAGCGTCAGAAAAAGTAGGCTGAGCTCCCGACTCCATATTTTACCATGACCTTAATCTCTTCACCTCTGCAATGGGGATCACGATGCCCACATCCCCAAACCCTGTAAGGGTTAAATGAGGTGCATCTATGACATCATTGAACCCAGTAGTTGCCCAGTATAGGCACTGAATCCAAATTATCTGAACCTAGCAGAGTTTTAGAATACATTTGAGTGTTTGTTTCCAAACTGAGAGCTCAGACTGACAACTAAGTAGAACCAAGAAGCATCCTTCACCACAGCTTTATAAGAGTGGTGGATAATACGGTTTTCTGAAAAGTAAAAAGAGGGTCCCTATTCTGAGTTAGGTCACACATTCTGAAAAGGAAAATTCACATCCATGCACTCAGGGATATAAAAGGAGCCGCCAAGTGGCAGGAATTTATTGTCCCTCGGCTCATCTGGTCAACAACTCACTAGAGAACAGGTCCTACAGCTCAGTGGTGGGTGCCCCACGGTGAGCACCCTGGGAATGCCGTATGGCCAAACTACTCACTTTAGAGCACGGTTGGGTTTGTCGGGAAGAATAGCTGTGAAATCGCTACACGAGTCTGACTTGTGAGACAGGCATCCCAGGCGGGTCCTCATCCCTTTGTTCCTGCAAGAAGCACAGGGGCAGAAGGATGGGGAACTGTCATGATCATAGCTGTCAGCTCTATAAAGGGCCCCAGGAACTCTGCTGCAGGAGCCCGCACTGCCTCCCCTGACCGCCCCCCCCCATCCTTCCCCAGGGGGTCCCTAAAGATTTCATGAACAAGAGGAGAAATACCTAGAAGATCAAGGGATATATATACTCACTCCCTAACTTGACTCCTGGCATAGTAATAAGTACCCTACCCCTAGAGGCTTAATGCTCTTTCAAAGCTAACATGCAAGTTGATAGTAAGTCAATGAAGGTCATTATCTTGGAAGAATTTCTAAATTAAGATTCTCTGTAGGGAAAGGAAATACAGTGAAGACAAAATAACAATCCACATTTTGCTCTCCCATCAGGAGGGCAAGACAGCCGCAGCTCCTAATTGCAAAGCCCCAGAAGAGGTACCCACACGCACGCACGCACGGAGAGTAGAGGGTTGCTTGCATAATACAGGGGTGTGTATCACAGAACCTCCAAGCACAAATGAAGCTTCCAGGCAAATTAATTCTGACTCAGGTGCTCCCCACTCATCCCGCAAACCTGGGGATACAGATTCATGAACGGCTACGGACCAGCCAGAACCAACTCCTGCAGGTGAGGGCCAGAGCAGCTGGTACAATCAGCAGCTAAGAACCAGGGCCCCTTTCTCCATTCTTTTAGTTACTTAACTAAGCTCTCATATTCCTATTTGTATTTTGGCTTCTCTCAATCAACCTGTTTAAAACTTTAGCATGTATGTTTAAAATTCTCATATTTTTTATTTTCCTAAGGATCAGACATTTACATGTTATCTGTTATGGAAGATCCGATGAGGAATTACACTAATGTCTCTCTCCGACGTCCAACATTAGCCCCTTTTTACCTTTAACCACAGACCAGCAAACTGTGTCCCTGAGAGACGCCTGTTTGTGTAAATAAAGTTTTATTGGAACACAACAACACCCATTATTTACATATTGTCTAAAGCTGCTTTCGAGCACCAGGGCCGAGTTGGGTGGTTGCAACACAGACTGTATGGCCCATAGAACTCAAAATATTTACTCTCTGGCCCCTGACAGAGTAAGTTTACTGACCCCTGGCCTTTAACCCATGGCAGCTCCTCACATGGAGAGCAAAGGGATGTGAGAAGGGTTGGCTGTAATCCAATCAGGACCAAAGAGTGACTTATAAAAGGGCACTGCCACGTGCACGCTGGTAACAATGTGCCACAGAAATAGTCCCAGAGATGTTATTCTCCACGTGGAAAGGAAGTCCTTCTCGCCTGGCTTTCCCTCCCCCTGATTTGTGAATCCCGGGCCTGGGCAGAGACGCTAGAGGCCGTCCAATTCAATCTCTTCCTTTCACTCCAAATGGGCATCCATCCCTGACCCAAGCTAGTTATTCACAGAAATCTTATCCAACAAATCTAGTGGGATGGTATTATATTTGGCAAGGATTGACAACATTTGTATTCCACAGCCCATCTCCAAGAGCCTTTTAAAGCTGGAACATCCAAGTTCCCAGATATATCCCCTCTCCTGCAGAAAACTGGGCCTGCACGTCCTGTGCTCCCACCTCTTATCTCTGCCAGGCGCATGATGAAGCCATCAATTTTGTGGCGTTTTGAAACATTGGCGATAGCTATTCTCTCTCCTGCGATGGTGAGCATCCTATGTCCACTCACTCTTATAAATCACAGGGTGCTCTGCCCCCAGGCCACGTGAGCAACTGATTAAGGGCCTTAGAGGCACCACATTCCATGAATTCAAGGAAAGGTCTTGCTTGGGCTGCACCAAGGCCAAAACCCAACTTCCAGTGAGTCAGTTCACTCCTCGGTGCCCCAGGATCATCAATCACAGAATAGTCAGGTCGATGCCCCCAAGAGCAATTAAGAGGACTTCAACAAAAAAATGGCAAATCCACACAAGCCATCTAACAACGTTTAGCAGGGGCTAAACCCTTTAAATGTAAAGGGTATACTCGTTACCGAGACAACAGTGGTTCTCCCCAGTAGTTTGTAAAATCTTCCACAAAATATTCTTTGGGGCCCAATGGTTTTGATTTTCCATCTGGTCTAGCTGAGATCTGAATTATAACCTTGTTAGTTAGGTTTGAAATAATGGAAGCAGAAGTGAGAGTCAAAGGTTAAAGTTACTTAAAAAGGAAGGAAGGAGGGAGGGAAGGGAGGAGGGAGGGAGGGGAAGGAGGGAGGAGGAAGGGAGGGAGGGAGGGAAGAAGGAGGAAGGAGGGAGGGAAGGAGGGAGGGAGGGGAAGGAGGAAGGGAGGGGAAAGAGGGAGGAGGAAGGGACGGAGGGAGGGAGGGAAGAAGGAGGAAGGAGGGAGGGAAGGAGGGAGGGAGGGAGGGAGGGAAGGAGGAAACAAAAGTAAAAAGAAGTAAGCTTGCCCTTATCTTTCTTTCCTGTGCCAGGACCGTATAGAGGTCCCTAAATGGTTCGATGCAAGCTCATGCACAGTCCCACCCCATGAGTCCCACCAGTCAATGGGAGGGTTTGGCACGACTTTGCAAGAAGCACCCCAGAAAGGAGAGCACCATCCACACCAATGGCCTGAGGGGACGGACCACCCATGGGAGTCGAAGGCCGGGCAGGCTCACACAGCGGGGGGGTGGGAAGGGGCAGAGAGGGGGAAGGGCAGGGGCGGGGAGACAGGTGAGCATCATTACCTGCGTGGCATCAGTAAAGCGGCCATACAGGCAGCGCTTACGGTTAACCCTCTGGCCGGTGTGCAGGGACGTCAGGGCGGGAGATAGGACTGCGGGGCACAGGGATTTACCCTTTCACGTCCTCTCACCTAAAATCAAAGAATCTGCTGTAAGAGGGGAGCAGCCCTCTCTTATCTGACTGTGCTACAAATCCTCTTGGATGGCTTTCCTCTGACAGAGGGCCTCCCCCCACACAGCCCCTTCCCACAAATGCCTGCTTGTCCTGACGAAGGATGACCAGCTAAGGATGACCCGGGACAAATTGCTGGCTGTATTCGCATTGCTGCCTGTTGGTCAGGAGCTCCTATTTCCCCAAACACTGGCCATGACAGTGAAGTGGGGCACATTGCCCCAGGGGAGGAAGGCTCAGGCCTGGCGAGCCAAAAATTACTGCTCTTTGTCTTATTGCAGTGGGGCCCAAGTGACCAGCCAGCCAGGGATGGTGGGGGAAGGGGGGGTCAGCACTTGCTCCAGAATTCCTTGATTGGCTGCTCTTCTGATTCTGGCCTGCCTCTCAGGGAACCTGTCCTGGAGTCCTGGAGCTTTGGGAGGGTGTGAGCAGGGGGAAGGGTGGAGTAACTCCAAGGGAGACTAGTCAGGCCCCTGTCACTGCACAGGCCTGCTCCTTTGCAGGATCGCAGGCACAAACTGAAGAAATGAATATGCAAGCCACTCTCTCTTGCCCAGATGGAGGCCGCCCGACCTTCCTCAACCTGGGACTGGCCCATTCCAGACCTGAAGTGGGGAGAAAGTCTGGAAAGGGGATACTGAGGTTGAGGGCTTGTTGACTGATCATCTCTCACTCCTGAGGGTCCCCTTCTCAGTGCTTCAAACCCTTTGTTCCCACAGAAATGATAGGAAGAATCACGTGAAGAGAGCAGCCTATCCGTAAAGGGCTTCCCTGGGGAACCCTGACACCAAACAGAATCCATTTTAAAAGAAACCTAATTTAGATAGATAAGGCCCCTACTGGATCTACTCTGTTTAAATTATTTTGGTATTACACGGAATATTTCACAAATACTTTTTTAAAAAAACACCTTCTCTAATAATACCAAAATTCATAAAATTAAAAGATTGCTTTGTTAAAATTAAAAAAAAAAAATAGCTAGACTTTGTATCAAAGCTCATCCTCCAGGAGACTGGGCTTAGACTGTGTTCCCTAACAGTAGGAACAATTCCTTAATCTTTGTCCTAATGGTGCATCTACCTGCCTGCCCAGGAGTCAGGAAATCAAAGCCCTTCCCAGCTTTAAGGTTCTCTTCCAGCTGCGAGAAATCACTGTTTGGGGCACCTATGCCTCATTTTCTCTTGCTTATGGTCTACCGCCCGGAGGAGGGGAACCCCGTGCCAGGGGCCTTCATTACGCTGGTGCTGAACAGAACCAGGGATGACTCCCCCACAGACGGAGCACGCAAGGTCATTTGGGGCAGGTATTACCAGGCCTGCAGTCACTGCCTTGTCGCTCTTCCCGTTCCCACTGCTAGCTCACCCTGGGACTGCTTCCATGCCTGCCTCTCTCCCTCCCAAATCCAGCACTGCCCACCACTGTCCCCCAGACCTTCCACCCTCCCTTCACTTAGCCTTGACTTCAATTCAATCAGAATCTGCAGGAGATTCTGGCCCCTGCTTCCTCATTCATCCCAGCACCTTGGGGCTCTAATTCCATCTGGCCCTTGACTTCCGGGGGACAGAGTTTGGGGTCCCCAGGGCCCAGGAAGGCCCATGGCAATGTGCCCTGTTAGGTGGACATCAAGTGACAGGTGACTCTGGGGCAGACAGGATGGGACATAATGGAAAGAGGGAACTCAAGGAAAAAAAAAACAAAGGTTAAAAGCAAAGAGCAACGATTTTTAAAGAGGGGAAGAGAAACTAAGAGTCTCAGCGGGGAGAAAGCAATCAATATGCATGGAGAGGCAGGTTAATTAAATATGGATAATGCAATCAGCCCACATGGGTACCTTGAAGAGGAAAGAGAAAAGCAAAAGCAATACTCACTGTCTTTGACCAGTCCTCATGGCCTGCGGGTCTTTGCCAACTGTGTGGTCAGAGAGGCTGCGGGTTAAGGAGTTCTGGGGAAAGAGTTGATCTTTCTTTTAGCAGTCAGATCCTTGATGGGTGAAGAACATGTGTGCATGAATGCACAGGCACACTCGTGCGTGCACACACACATATACACACGCATGCATGCACAACACACCTCCCCACCACTTGAGCCGGGCAGCAAGCGGCCCCGCTGAAAGCTCTTCTCTCTGCTTGTCACATCCAGTAAATACTGAAGCAGCCTACACCCAGCGGGCGGCGGCTCAGCTCCCGGGCACAGTCTGCACGCCCATCCTCATTGGCAGGATGCAGGAGGTGCCCCTGAGCAGAGCTCGCCTGGCACTCCTCCCGTACCTTCCTCTTCACTAACCTGCTTCCTTGCTGCTCTGGCTGCAGCTCCGGGAGAAGTCCCCACAGCCCAAAGCTGCCTCCCTCTGCACCCAGAGGCTGGGCAGGGGGCAGCGAAGCTGTAGGTATTAACTCTTTCCAGCCACCAATGAGCTGAAAACCAAGTGTCCAGGGGGCCCTCTTCTAATGAGCTCTGCTGCTGGCTGAAGGCTGGTTGCTGCTCAGGGAGCAGGGAGCATAAAGATCTTGCCCCAGACAGCTGCTGACAGCAGGAGCCAAGCCGAATCAAATCTCCTAATGAGCCAGGAGGAGGGGGGCTGTCTTGCTGGGTGTGATGTGATGTGATAAATGCAGAGAGCAAGAAAGCTACGGGGCAGGTCACACATCTAAATTCCACCCCCTTTCTCCCAATTTCTATTGTGCTTCACTACCAAGCCAAACCACACAGCCCTGAAATTACCCCCTCCGCCACATCTCAGCTGTCCCCCTTACTCGACAGAGGCATTTCTCCCCCAGTCTGTCTCTACTCCCACCCCCCAGCACCAAACACACCACTCCTCACTTCTTAATGAGAAATTTCCACCTCCTCTGCCTCCTCAAAACATGTAGATTTCCAACTCTGTGCTCCTGGTTTTTCCTACAGTGGAAATTCACCTCTCTCCCTCATCCATCACCTAGCGACTTCCCCGTTTGCATTTGTTATGAGTGACTTTTCCCTTTGTTCTGCCCAATCGGCACATTATCCCTAATTTTTCTGTCTTCTGCAATTTTTTCTTCCAAACGACCTTACCCATATAGATCTTCACACTGCCTGTTTCAGCTCCAGAAGGAGGACTGTCTCTTCCTCTTGCCCTAGTACAGTAGTTCTCTGAGTATGGTCCTTGGACCTGCAACGTCAGCATCACCTGGGAATGTGTTAGAAATGCAAACTCTCAGGCCCCACCCCCAGACCTATAGAATCATACTCAGGGGATGGAGCCCAGCCTCCCAGGTGATTCTGATGCATGCTAAAGTTTGCAAACCACTGCCCTGGGACAAAGCTTCCCTTCTCCCCATTCCACTCCAGTCTCCAGCTCCCTCTCAGGAACTAGCTCCAAATGCACCTAACCTTTACCATAAGTCATTTTGGACACCCGGAAGGCGGCATTTGCTGGAGGCAGCAGAAAACTCTATGGAAAGTGATGGCTTGATACTAAAAATATTAGATTGCATTTGTTTAACCTTCTATAATGTAGAAAGCATGTTCATGTATTGTGACTCAACAACCCTATTCCATAGCCAGAGAGAATATTATTATCCCCAAGTTACAGATGAGAAAACTGAGGCAACTCAAGGACCAGACTTGTTTTCTTAGAACTCTTATAGCAGAGCTCTTCCCACCACGTCATGCCGGGACCCAGAATTCCTGGCAGATCTATTGGTGGCATAACCTGTATTCTCCCAGTGACAGGAGTCTGCCGCAACCCCACGTTGCCTGACGAGAGGATGAAATAAAAAGTCTGATGCTGCCTCCACAGTGACTCATTGTCTCTCTTGCAAAATGTCCACAGTGTGCCTCTGTTAGGTAGAGGGAACTTAGTGTTATGAAATGAGACGCAAAAGAAATGTTTCCCTGCCTTGAACGCCAGTGCTAGCCAGGATTTAGAATTGAAGCATAAAGAGAATCCTTTGCTTCTGGACATATTCTTGATACACTGCCCCATACCAAACAGGTCCACAGATAAACTGGGAATAAAAGCCCAGTGATAAGCACTTCCCTAATCCAAGATTAGGTTATACGGTAAGATGGAGCCTCCCAGATTCCATGCACACAGCCATTGTCCAACAAGCCTTCGTATGTGCCAGGTACTGGGCTAAACATTGCGCTACTGGTAACTCTCGTAACAAACTTAAAAGGCTGACATCTTTATCATCCCCATTTTACAGATGGAGAAACAGAGACAAATCAGTTACAAGTGGCAGAGCTGGTGCCTGATACCAAGCTTCCTGTTCTCAACCCTTGCTCTGCCCCTTGCTTTAACACAAAGGTGGCATCATCACAGGACTCCTCGTTCAGTGCTAAAATAGTGAAATAAAGGCCCCCTCCGAGTCTCATGCTGCCCCATCTGGCATCCAGGATTTAAAGGCACTGAAGAGATAGGGCAGGGCTGCGGAAGGGCCCAAGTCTCTGGTGGGGGCTGACTAATATTAACTAGGCATCAGAATCTTCAATTAGCCTTTGGAGAAATAATATAGTCCTAGGAAGTCAATAAGCCAACCCAAATGTTTAAGGAAAGATGTAATTATTAATAACATTTTAAGAAAGAGCAGGAATATAAAGAGCAGAGGGATAAGAGCGTGTGGACATGCATCTAGCAGGAGTAAAAAGAAAAAATTTAAACTTTTTTTTAAAGCAAAACATTCCTGAACACCAAAGCGTAACCACACAGCACCCTAGTTTGAGAAGCACAGACCTAGTACAGGCCCCCTCTCAGGGAAGGCCTCTATGTTAAATCTTCCTTTCTGCAGAGGCAGGTGCATAAGGAATTCCAGGGGCTGTTGGGGGGGGGGGGCGGCGAGGCTGGCGGCGAGAATTAAGCAGAACCGAGGGGATAAGCATTCTGGCATGGTCTCCTTTCCTGAAGGAGAGAGAGAGGCAGAGGCAAGCAGGCTGGAGTACTAGTGAGGAAGGCACTCACCTACTTGGACTCTGTGTCCCAGGGCTTATAGCCCTGGCCCAGGAATAGAGAGCTCTGGATTCCTTTCTGGTTACTGCTTCTGAGTTTCTGGCTGGAGACTGGGCACGGCACGTTTCCGCTGGCGGCGACATGTGGATTTTCCCAGGAAAACAGGCATTACAAGCTGTGCTCTGCCTTCTCAGCCTGCCCTGCACCTCTCAGCTCTTCCCATTCTTGGTTTGCTCCTCCTGGGAAACCCAACCTTCCCAGGCCTGGGCCACTGCGTCTCTCCGGCATTGGTGCTCAGCCCTGCCTCTCATGAGCTCCAGACTGGCTTTTCCAGAGGACAGCTAGACAACTCCATCCCTCTCAGACTCTGCAGATGCAACTGTGTCAGAAACAACCACCTTTGCCTCCAAATCCTCCCTTCCTGCCGGGCTCCCTATGCTTGCTAATGAAATGACTCTGTCCTAGCCCCTCGAGGTAATGAGTAAAGGTATCTCTGGCTTCTTTTTCTCTTTTGCCTTGTTGAATTGATTTTTAAAACTTCTCATTATATTTCTGAAATATTTCTCAACTTTATCCACCCCATCCATTGACACTGCCATTCAGAGGTTATTGGGCACCCACCACGGCGTATGCCTCTTCCACGGTGTCCTAAGTAACTGAGCTTCCTGCCCCCATGTCATTGCCTCCCCCATTCCCCATAAACCTCCTAGCCTGCTACACTACTACCAGAGTTAACCCCTGAACAGGTACCATAAATGGTCTGTACAGTCATTTTTGATGGGCTTCATGGTAGCAATTTGTCCTGCCTGACGTTCTAACAATTCGGTCCCATTTACCTATCCAGGCTTATATCCCATTGTGCATACACACATGCACACACACAGACCTGATTCCTCCGCTGCCCCCTCTGCCCAGAATGTTCCCCACCCTTGCCCCCGGATCTGCCTCTTAACTCCCAGTTGCTTCTCTAAACCTAATACCTGCAAGATAAAAATTCCCCTTTCCAAAGCTTTTCAGAACGGCCTCAATCAGAAGGAATCCTTCCATCCTAACACCACCACCACATTGCTGTGTGACTCTCTGACAGCCCGTAACGGAGTCTGTAGTTTATCCTTGTGATTTATGTTTTCTGATCCTCCCAAATGACTGACTACGTGTCCCACAAAGACAGACTCTATGACTTACTCCCCTTGCTATCAGTTCTCATTGCCTCGTATGAAGCAGGTGTTTAATAAATGTCAGCTGCATTTGATTTTGAGTTCATGAAAAAAATCTGAAAAATCACCGAGGATTCCTTATGGCGGAAGCACTTTAGACTTCTGCAGTCTCCGGGTCAAGTCTGAAATCGGTCTAATGCTAATGACTCTCAGGGGCAGCAGCTTGAGTACCTAAGGCATTTGCAAACTATTGTTCCCCACAGCCTGGTCAGGGCAGGGTGGAATTAATCAAGAGGAAAAGGAGCACCTGGCATTGTCACACAGGCCACAAAAATGTAATTAAATTGAAGATAAAGGGAATTAAAGTCTGCAATATAATATTTTTAAAAGCCATGTTAGTAGAGGTGCAGGTTTATTGCCAAACGCCCGCTGTGTGTTTATTTAATCAACATACCACCTAAGACAGTACCATATTAAAAGCTTTTCATAAAACAGTCATTCAGATATTAGATTTGAATTCTGGTCAGCATGCTAGAGCTCTTCCACAAATCTTTTAAAAGCAATTTCCACTTTGTAGCTTCCTAGTAACAGCAGAAACATGAATCAACATATGCTGCATTGATTTGGGGTTTCCATGGAGACTGGAAGGACACAGGGAAAGGAAGGACAGAAAGAGGCCACTCGGCCCAAAATTCTACTAAAAAAAAAAAAAAAAGTCTCTATTTCATTCCTCTGAGTATTAACAGCCTCATTTCCTGCTCATCAGTTCAAGCATCCGGATATTTAATTTGTAATAAGCCTGCTCAACTTCTCACAAGAAACATCAGAAGGGTGGAAAGAAGTCAGCAAAGGTGTCAGCCCATGAGGTTTGCAAAGAGAACCGAACAAGCACAGGATCTGGAATGGGAAGAAAGGACCTCTGGTCCTAATTCTGTCATTAACTAGCTCTGTGACACTAACTACCTTAACTAGTTAGCTATGTGATCCCTAACATAATGAAGAACGTTGAATTTCAATTCCTTCTTCTGTAAAACCCAAATTACCTGTCCTATTTTTCAGAATGGTTGTAGGAAAGAAATGAAAAAGTCTGTGGGAATGAAAATGCCTTGCAAATTCTAGTCCACTGTATTACCCTACCACAGACGGTCGCCAACTTACGATGGTTCCGCCTATGATGGTTCCCTTATGACTGTCTGATTTTACCACAGTGAGAAAGTGATACGCATTAAGTGGAAACCACACTTTGAGTTTTGCATTTTGCCCTTTTTCCCAGGCTGGTGATATGTGGGATATCAGGGTGCTCTGTCCTGATACGGCTCTGTGGCAGCAGCCACAGCTCCGCCAGTCACATGATCACCAGAGTCAACCACTGATACACTTACAACCACCCTGTGCACTTACAACCATGCTGTTTTCCACTTTCAGGGCAGGACTCAATAAGTTACATGAGATATGCAACCTTTATTTTAAAATAGGCTTTTATGTTAGATGATTTTACTCAACAGTAGCTAATGTCAGTGTTCTGAGCATGTTTCAGGTAGTCTAGGCTGAGCTATGATGTTTGGTAGGTTAGGGGTATTAAATGCATTTTCAACTTATGATATTTTCAACTTATAATGAGTTCATCAGGACATAACCCCATCCTAAGTCAAGGAAAATCTGTGTTATGCTTGGTGATGCTCTGAGCTTCCTTTTAAATGGAATTCTGCCAACAAGCAAGTCTATGCAAATTTTTTTTAAAAAAAAAGAGAGAGAGAGAGATTGCTGATTTAGTGGGAAGTAGACTGACCTGGAAAAAAGAAGAGTGGGTTGGACCAGCCTGAGTTTCAATCCCCACTCTGTAATCTTCCAGATCTGTAACTGTAGGCACATTACTCTCCTTGAGTCATTTTCATCACAGGTAAGAAGATCACAGTACCAATGTCGTAGGCTTGTTAAAGGATTGTTATACATATTAACTGAGGGATTCGCACAACGCTTAGCAAATGGCAAATGAGTGTTTAGTGTGAGCCAGTAATATTAGCTATCTCATCTGCTTCATCATCTGTAAAATGGGAATTAGAATTCCTACTCCTGGGCGCCTGGGTGGCTCAGATGGTTAAGCGTCTGCCTTCGGCTCAGGTCATGATCTCAGGGTCCTGGGATGGAGTCCCGCATCGGGCTTCCTGCTCCTTGGGAGCCTGCTTCTCCCTCTGCCTCTCTCTCTCTGTCTCTGTCTCTCGTGAATAAATAAATAAAATCTTTTAAAAAAAAAAAAAGAATTCCTACTCCTTCCTTACTTCACATAGAGGATTACTTGGATGACATCTGCTCAGCTATTTGATAAACTGCTCCAGAAAAGGCACTAAATAAATACAATGTTATTATTTAAAGATGCATGTTTACTACCTGCTAATGGAGGTGACACAAAAATGAAACACATTTGTGAGGATTTTCAAACGTCTAGGAGTCTAGGCGGAGAGGAGGTGACATGTGTCTGTTACCTTTTTCATTCTCTTTTGTTCTTCTAGAGTTTTCATTTGTCTCCTTGCTACTCACAGCAGCCTTTTCTTTTTTCTACCTCTCTTCTCTTTTTACTATCTTTATACTTCTCCTTTTAAGTGTGTCTAGAAGGAATTTTAAAATTAAACTTCAGAGACTTTGGAGTCTAAACTGAAATTGTTCCTTAGGCTTCCTAAAATTAAATGGTACACCAACATGGGGCAAAATGACACAAAATCAGGAGACGTCATAGGATTATAGGAATTACAGGACTGTCCCTCTGGCAGTGGTCACCAGTGTTAGATATATATCTATATATTTAAAGAAACACATCAACCAAATGCAGTATGTGAGATAGATTTTGGATCCTGATTCAAATTTAAAACCATAAAAAAAATCAGGAGACAATTTGGGGAAATTTGAGCACTGATTAGGTATTGATATTAGAGTGATATTGATGTTGAGGTTATTTTTTTAAGCAACTTATTAGTTAGAGATACATTCTGACATATTTAGAGTTGAAATGATATGCTATCTGGAAATTGCTTCAAAATCATCTAGGGTGGGAAGTGGGAGGTAGTACACAGGTGCTCATTGTTCTATTCTCTTGATTTGTGTATATTTGAAATTGTGCATAAAAATGTTATAAACGGTGTGACCACTAACAATACGTGCTTCAGGAAAATGAGCCTACAAAGTGTAAACTTTTAGTGCAAGGAAACTGAAATATAGAAAGAGGCCATTTGAATGGGGATTGATTTCCTGTGTTGTAAGTTTTCTTCCCCATGAATAAATCCATTTTCAGAAAAGCCTTTTATTTGACTTCTAGGGAGCAGGTGCCAAAATTCGTAGAGATTTAGAATGGGTATGACTCTTAGATATCACCTACAGAAATTAAATTTTAAAGAATTTGCCTGAGAAATCACACCTTTTTTTTTTTTTTAAGATTTTACTTATTTATTTGAGAGAGAGACAGAGATAGCAAGAGAGAGCATGAGCAGGGAAGAGGGGAAGAAGCAGGCTCCTTGAGCAGGGAGCCTGATGCAGGGCTCGATCCCCGGATCATGACATGAGCCGAAGGCAGAAGCCTAACCAACTGAGCCACCCAGGCACCCCCCAAGGTCACATTTCTTAAAGCATGGCCAGAACTCCAGCCCAGAGCTCCAGGGGTGGAATCCCACTACATCCTATCTTCCCACTGCTGAGCTGCCCACCCACACATCCAGAATCTAGGGCAATAAGTCAACCTCAGATGAAGATACAAATGATGATCTGTTCACTTATCTCCCCAAACCTTCTCCATTCCTATTGTAACCAGAGACTTAAACAGTAAACTTGGTTTTTATGAACTAGTGTGAGCTAGTCCAGTGGCCAGCAGCTGAAGGGCAGAAAGCCACAGTATAGGGAAAGAGAGGGCAACAAGCACAATCCTTCACACATCCCCAGCCAGATCTCCTGTTTCACCAAGATAATCGCTGCCTTAAGTATGAAA